CTATCTTCATCAACATTTAACAATTCCTCAAAATATTCCTTCCATCTTCCCAATACCTCTTAACTCTCCATTTAATAACTCTCCTCTCCTATTTTTAACTGACAAATCCATTTGTTCCCTAGGCTTCCTTAACTTGTTGATCTCACTCCAAAACTTTTTCTTATTTTCAACAAAATTTGTTGATAACATCTCACCCACTCTCTCATTTGCTCTCTTTTTACATTGCTTCACCACTCTCTTAACCTCTCTCTTTTTCTCGTTTTTTGTTTAATAAATGTATGAAAGAGGGGGAGGTACCTAGGGATTGGCAGAGAGCATGTATATAAAAGGAAGGGGGACAAAAGAGATTGTAAAAATAATAGAGGAATAAGTTTACTGAGTATACCAGGAAAAGAAAGGGGTTTAGTTATAGGTTATACATATTTTAAGAAAAAGAGGATAAATAAGTATATAAGATATGATGTAGGGCGAAATGACAGTAGTTTGTTGGATTGTGTATTGGTAGATAAAAGACTGTTGAGTAGACTTCAGGATGTACATGTTTATAGAGGGGCCACAGATATATCAGATCACTTTCTAGTTGTAGCTACACTGAGAGTAAAAGGTAGATGGGATACAAGGAGAATAGAAGCATCAGGGATGAGAGAGGTGAAGGTTTATAAACTAAAACAGGAGGCAGTTAGGGTAAGATATAAACAGCTATTGGAGGATAGATTGGCTAATGAGAGCATAGGCAATGGGGTCGAAGAGGTATGGGGTAGGTTTAAAAGTGCAGTGTTAGTGTTAAGCAGAAGTTTGTGGTTACAGGAAAGTGGGTGCGGGAGGGAAGAGGAGCGATTGGTGGAATGATGATGTAAAGAGAGTAGTAAGGGAGAAAAAGTTAGCATATGAGAAGTTTTTACAAAGTAGAAGTGATGCAAGGAGGGAAGAGTATATGGAGAAAAAGAGAGAGGTTAAGAGAGTGGTGAAGCAATGTAAAAAGAGAGCAAATGAGAGAGTGGGTGAAATGTTATCAACAAATTTTGTTGAAAATAAGAAAAAGTTTTGGAGTGAGATTAACAAGTTAAGAAAGCCTAGAGAACAAATGGATTTGTCAGTTAAAAATAGGAGAGGAGAGTTATTAAATGGAAAGTTAGAGGTATTGGGAAGATGGAGGGAATATTTGAGGAATTGTTAAATGTAGTTGAAGACAGGGAAGCTGTGATTTTGTGTATAGGGCAAGGAGGAATAACATCTTGTAGGAGTGAGGAAGAGCCAGTTGTGAGTGTGGGGGAAGTTCGTGAGGCAGTAGGTAAAATGAAAGGGGGTAAGGCAGCCGGATTGATGGGATAAAGATAGAACTGTTAAAAGCAGGTGGGGATATAGTTTTGGAGTGGTTGGTGCAATTATTTAATAAATGTATGGAAGAGGGTAAGGTACCTAGGGATTGGCAGAGAGCATGCATAGTTCCTTTGTATAAAGGCAAAGGGGACAAAAGAAAGTGCAAAAATTATAGGGGATAAGTCTGTTGAGTATACCTGGTAAAGTGTATGGTAGAGTTATTATTGAAAGAATTAAGAGTAAGACGGAGAATAGGATAGCAGATGAAGAAGGAGGCTTTAGGAAAGGTAGGGGGTATGTGGACCAGGTGTTTACAGTGAAATATATAAGTGAACAGTATTTAGATAAGGCTAAAGAGGTCTTTGTGGCATTTATGGATTTGGAAAAGGCGTATGACAGGGTGGATAGGGGGGCAATGTGGCAGATGTTGCAGGTGTATGGTGTAGGAGGTAGGTTACTGAAAGCAGTGAAGAGTTTTTACAAGGATAGTGAGGCTCAAGTTAGAGTATAGGAAAGAGGGAAATTATTTCCCAGTAAAAGTAGGCCTTAGACAAGGATGTGTGATGTCACCGTGGTTGTTTAATATATTTATAGATGGGGTTGTAAGAGAAGTAAATGCGAGGGTCTTGGCAAGAGGCGTGGAGTTAAAAGATAAAGAATCACACACAAAGTGGGAGTTGTCACAGTTGCTCTTTGCTGATGACACTGTGCTCTAGGGAGGTTCTGAAGAGAAGTTGCAAAGATTGGTGGATGAATTTGGTAGGGTGTGCAAAAGAAGAAAATTAAAAGTGAATACAGGAAAGAGTAAGGTTATGAGGATAACAAAAAGATTAGGTGATGAAAGATTGGATAACAGATTGGAGGGAGAGAGTATGGAGGAGGTGAATGTATTCAGATATTTGGGAGTGGACATGTCAGCGGATGGGTCTATGAAAGATGAGGTGAATCATAGAATTGATGAGGGGAAAAGGGTGAGTGGTGCACTTAGGAGTCTGTGGAGACAAAGAACTTTGTCCTTGGAGGCAAAGAGGGGAATGTATGAGAGTCTAGTTTTACCAACGCTCTTATATGGGTGTGAAGCATGGGTGATGAATGTTGCAGCGAGGAGAAGGCTGGAGGCAGTGGAGATGTCATGTCTGAGGGCAATGTGTGGTGCCAATATAATGCAGAGAATTCGTAGTTTGGAAGTTAGGAGGAGGTGCGGGATTACCAAAACTGTTGTCCAGAGGGCTGAGGAAGGGTTGTTGAGGTGGTTCGGACATGTAGAGAGAATGGAGCAAAACAGAGTGACTTCAAGAGTGTGTCAGTCTGTAGTGGAAGGAAGGCGGGGTAGGGGTCGGCCTAGGAAAGGTTGGAGGGAGGGGGTAAAGGTTTTGTGTGCGAGGGGCTTGAACTTCCAGCAGGCATGCGTGAGCGTGTTTGATAGGAGTGAATGGAGACAAATGGTTTTTAATACTTGACGTGCTGTTGGAATGTGAGCAAAGTAACATTTATGAAGGGGTTCAGGGAAACCGGCAGGCCGGACTTGGGTCCTGGAGATGGGAAGTACAGTGCCTGCACTCTGAAGGAGGGGTGTTAATGTTGCAGTTTAAAAACTGTAGTGTAAAGCACCCTTCTGGCAAGACAGTGATAGAGTGAATGATGGTGAAAGTTTTTCTTTTTCGGGCCACCCTGCCTTGGTGGGAATCGGCCAGTGTGATAATAAAAATAAAAAAACCCAGGAAAAGTGTATGGTAGGGTTATTATTGAAAGAATTGGAGGCAACACAGAATGTAGGATTGCGGAGATCAAGTGTTTACATTGAAGCATATACGTATGTGAACAGTATTTAGATAAAGGTAGGGAAGTTTTTACTGCATTTATTGATTTAGAAAAGGCATATGATAGAGTGGATAGGGGAGCAATGTGGCAGATGTTTCAAGTATATGGAATAGGTGGTAAGTTACTAAATGCTGTAAAGAGTTTTTATGAGGATAGTGTGGCTCATGTTAGGGTGTGTAGAAGAGAGGGAGAATACTTCGCTGCAAAAGTAGGTCTTAGACAGGGATGTGTAATGTCACCATGGTTGTTTAATATATTTATAGATGGGGTTGTAAAAGAAGTAAATGCTAGGGTGTTTGGGAGAGGGGTGGGATTAAATTATGGGGAATCAAATACAAAATGGGAATTGACAGTTACTTTTTGCTGATGATACTGGTGCTTATGGGAGATTCTAAAGAGAAATTGCAAAGGTTAGTGGGTGAGTTTGGGAGTGTGTGTAAAGGTAGAAAGTTGAAAGTGAACATAGAAAAGAGTAAGGTGATGAGGGTATCAAATGATTTGGATAAAGGAAAATTGGATATCAAATTGGGGAGGAGGAATATGGAAGAAGTGAATGTTTTCAGATATTTGGGAGTTGACGTGTCGGCGGATGGATTTATGAAGGATGAGGTTAATCATAGAATTGATGAAGGAAAAAAGGTGAGTGGTGCGTTGAGGTATATGTGGAGACAAAAAACGTTATCAATGGAGGCAAAGAAGGGAATGTATGAAAGTATAGTAGTACAAACACTTATATAGGTGTGAAGCTTGGGTTGTAAATGCTGCAGCGAGGAGGTGCTTGGAGGCAGTGGAGATATCCTGTCTAAGGGCAGTGTGTGGTGTAAATATTATGCAGAAAATTCATAGTGTAGAAATTAGGAGAAGGTGTGGAGTTAATAAAAATATTAGTCAGAGGGCAGAAGAGGGGTTGTTGAGATGGTTTAGTCATTTAGAGAGAATGGATCAAAGTAGAATGACGTGGAGAGCGTATAAATCTGTAAGGGAAGGAAGGCGGGGTAGGGGTCATCCTCGAAAAGGTTGGAAGGAGGAGGTAAAAGAGGTTTTGTGGGCGAGGGGCTTGAACTTCCAGCAAGTGTATGTGAGCATGTTCGATAGGAGTGAATGGAGACGAATGGTATTTTGGACCTGACGAGCTGTTGGAGTGTGAGCAGGGTAATATTTAGTGAAGGGGTTCAGGGAAACCGGTTATTTTTATATAGCCAGACTTGATTCTTGGAAATGGGAAGTACAATGCCTGGGCTTTAAAGGTGGGGTTCAGGGATATTGGCAGTTTGGAGGGATATGTTGTGTATCTCTATATGTATATGCTTCTAAACTGTTGTATTTTGGGCACCTCTGCAAAAACTGATTATGTGTGAGTGAGGTGAAAGTGTTGAATGATGATGAAAGTATTTTCTTTTTGGGTCACCCTGCCTAGGTGGGAGAAAGCCAGACACTTTTGAGAATCTGTATTGAGGAATAAAGATTCCCGAATGTTGCCAAAATGTCTCATTCTTCAGTTGTTGTTTTTTGAAACCATTTAAATCACAAAAGACCCCTTTTGTTGCACCATCCCGACCCATCCTTCAGAGTGCAGGCATTAGACTTCATACCTCCAGTGTTCAAGCCCAACTAATGGGTTTTTCCTAAAATTCCTTCATAAATGTTACCCTGCTCACTCTGGCAGCATGTCTAAGTTCTGGCTCAGTGTGATGAAGTCTGAAATCTTTACTGTACAAATTCCTCCCATGAGGAAGATGATCACCAGCGGATGATCTCATAACAATAATGTGATTGTTTCAGTTATACAGTATGAAACTGGAATACACTGACATTCACTAATTAATTGTTACTTAACTCTGTTTTTATTTTATTTTCAGATCTAATAACAATTGCACAAGCAGTTTCTCTCCCTCTCATCTGTCCTCGGAGAAAAGTTTGTCGTCTGTTTCAACCAACGATCAGCATATATCTTCATTATATGGCTTAGAAGCAATTCCTGCCCCTGTATATGAGGGTGAAAGGTTAATTTCAAGATTAGTTTCAGCTCCACAGAATGGAAATGTGGTCTCTGATCTTGAAAATGAAAAGCTTTCAGAAGTGGTAGAGACGAGACGAGATGTAAATGATAATTCTCACAACAAGAGCAAGAATGCAGCCTCTGGAGAGAGAGACAACAATACTGACAACATTCATTTCAATAGTCCATTTGCTGGGTTAACATCATCTGCTAAGTCTCCAAACTTAAAAGATGACCTATTTTCATCCATATGCGAGTGTGTTGGTAAAATGTCTACTAAGTACTCATTACAGAATCCTTCTCCCAAAAGTCCTGGCCAAGGACTGTGTGTGAAGGAAGAGGATTCATTAGAAACTTTTGATTTCTGGTTAGACAGTCCTGATTGGCAAGTTTCGAGTCTTCAGAGTAAGGGTGAACATATTGAGAAAGACAAAAACTATGCAACTGGGAAAATCACAGAAAGCAAACAAAGAGCAGTAAAAAGTGATTGTAAGTCATTAGCCATTAAGTCAGCACATGTGAAAGAAAGAGTCGAGCTGACACATTTATCTCAGTCTTCTGAGGTTGTTGGTGATGCTCTTGTAAGTGGCACTAAAACAAAAGATGATATGAAAGAAGCAAATAAGAAAGAAACAGATATTCCTCATTGGGTCTCTGCTCGCTTGATGGCAACTTTACAGAATTCTCATCACATAAGACACAAAGAGCTGGGTATTTCAGTGGAAGATATATCCTCCATAAGTGAAAGAAGTGAAAATCAAGCTTACAGGCATACATATAGTAAGCAGAAACCACTTTATAACAGTACTGAAATGTCTATCTTCAGTGGAAGTTCAGTAGTTTGCACTGACTCCAGCCACAATACTGAAGAAATAAAAAGAATTGGCATGCAGGAAACTCATTGCCAAAATGAAAATTCAAAAGAAACACAAAATAAGGAAGTGGACAAGGAACATCAGATGCTGGATACATCTTTTATGTCTGACATTCAAGATGTGTGTACCAGTGAGTTTGCTGATAAATTAGAGGAAAAAGAATTTTCACAAATGAAAGAAAGTCCTACTTTGGACACATTAAATATAGCAAAATTATTTAGAGTTTTTGTCGCTGGTGATTCTCCCCTCGTAAATGAAGACATTCTAGTAAATGAGAGTATGATGACTGCCATCTTGAACTGCCACATTGTCAGGGTCCTAAATTATGAAGACATGAGACCTACACGATTGCAAGCATACACATGGCCAGTAATTGCTCGAGGAAGTTCAGCAGTTATAATAGGTGGTAGATCAAGTGGAAAAACTTTGGGATACATTGTACCACTAATTTCCACCATCTTAGACACTTGGAAGCACATTAGTCATCGTTTGGCCCCTGGTATTGGGGCAGCCATGGTGGTAGTGTGTCATAATTGGCAGAGTGTAAAACTTGCTGCTCAGTACATTGTTAGCCTCCTGCCTGCTGGCTCCAGTCTGAAAGTCAGGACAGCTTGGGGTGGCCGGGGGCACAATCAAGCAAAAATTATAAAAATACAGCTTGTTGGAGGATGCGACATATTGGTCACTACTGCCCCCTGCCTTATAAGACTTCTTACAGGTACATCAGTCACTGAAGCCAGAGAAAGAGGTTCAGAGAGTGACACACCTGTTACATCATTGGCTAGGTGTTGCCACCTGGTTATTGATGATGCTGATTCTATCCTGGAATATTTTGCTGCTGATATAAAACAATTACTGATTCTGTGGGCCAAGGGGAGGAAAGAGCATGGACGTAAAGACTTGGAACAGCAAATTGTGTTGGTAGGTTCTAGGTGGACCCCATTGTTTGGCTCCTTAACACATACCTTGATGTCTACTGTAGGTCCAACAATTATTATTTCCTCACCTAGTGAGGCAGCTATATGCACTAGAGTTGTAAGCCACCTACATTTAGTATTAGATGAAGAAGACTCACTTCAAGAAGTTGTTGAGCTTGTGCAAAATTTATATAACTTAAAGAAAAATTTGGTCTTTGTAAGCAGTGATATAGTCGGTGAAAAGCTGAAGGCTATGTTGGAGGCTGCTGCTATTTACTCAGTAAATATTCCCAGCAGTATTATTATGTGGAATTTGAGGAATTTAGTTCATTTGTGGCACAAGACACAGGCCATCACCATGATAGTGTGTAGAGGAGTAGAGCATCATCTCTTCAAGCAGGACCTTGCTAATGCAGATAACATTTTCCACACATACATTAGCACACCAGTTTCTAGATTCTTTTACAGATATTCTTTTATGATTGAAAAATTCTCCATTGACCTAAAGCAGAATTCTCCGAATTGTGAATCACATGTGTTTGTGACAAAAGAAACTTTGCAATCAGTTCCTAATCTTTTGAATGAACTAAAGAGGCTGTGTGACCACATACCTGATGAGGTTATTATTGCTGCTTCTCTGACAGATATAGACAAATTCTCTTTCTTTAACTCACTCTGTTATTACCTTAAGGCTTATGGTAGGTGCCCAGTTCTAGATAATTGTGGATTTAGGCATAAAATACAACTTACAGATAGTCCACAACATCTACCAAGGATGGGGGAAGTTACTTTTGATATTGTGAAAGTACTAAATGCCTCACGGTATTTAGTTCGCCTTACTGAATACCGTGAAAAGGCAGGGACACCTAGTCTTGATTTAAGAAATCATTACCCTAGTTTATTTCTAGCTCTTCAACTTTACTTTGCAAATCCAGAAAATAGTATTCAACTTGAGCAAGTTGAGCCTGGAATGTTATGTGCTGTTAAAGATAAAGGGAGATGGGCACGTGCAAGGGTTATCAGAATTGACTACACTGGTGATATTCCTGAACTTATTGTGTTCCTTGTGGATGAAGGTATTGAGTTCAATATTGATCTTAAGGCTGCTTTTTCTCTTCCACCATACCTTGCAGCCTTGCCAGAAATCATTGTCGAGGTATATCTGTGCTGTGTCCAGCCTGTTGACTTTGACAGAGAATGGACTATTGAAGCATCCCAGTATGTACAGGACTTCTTTAGCAGCAATAATTATAGAAAATTTGTTGGTCAGATAACGTTAGCACTTGGTCAAACATTATGGCTGAGTCCACTTGTTGAAGTAGTGCAAATAGGAAAAACATTTGTGCAAAGAGGACCACTTAGAGGAAAACTAATCACACAAGGATTTGGAATTAACAATCCTACACACTTAGAAGTCTTAAAGCTACTCTGTTTCAATGCTAACATTTCACTAGACCCCCAAGATTTAAACAGCAGTGATTGGAAAATCAATTTGAAACAAACATTTGATCGGTTCCATAGTTTGCAGAGTAAAGAAGACTTGAACAACAAAACCTTAAAGCATAGTAATGGAGCAAGTGTGAGTAACAGGGATACAAGTTTAAACATAGAAACAGGTGAAATAATAGATGAATTGGTGTGCACTACAGACACTACTGCCCCATCTGAAGATGACAAGTTTTACACATTACCAAACAAGAATATGAAAATGGAACAAGTAGAGGAGTACAAGGTGGATCAGAATACCTTCAAGTTCCTTGTAAGTGATAATTCAACCATTAATCTTGCACAGGAGGATCTACCACTGAACGTAGAACTAAGAGTGGAGTTAGGAGAGATTATCTCTCCTGAGTGTTTCTTTATTCTTCGAGAAGATAAGTATAAGAAGTTAGTGTTTGCTTACTTTCACTGCACTTGTATTTTGCTAATATAATCAAAGATAAAAAAGACAAAATCATTAGGAAGTAAATCAACATGAATACAGTACTATATACTGACTACTGTTCATTATGTTTGATAGTGTGTTGCTAATGTAGTTTCTTTTGATGAGCAGATTGCATAACCTTGAGATAGAATTGGATACTTTAGCCAAACTTGAGACTAGTGATGGGGTTCATACTGAAGACCTGCAGAAGAACAAGGATGTCAGTACAGCATCATGCTGCATTGCTAGGTTTTCTGATGGCTTGTAAGTTTTTTGTACATTTTTTACAAAATGTTTATATATTTCAGCCATTTATATTTATTTGAGATTAATAATACAACCGCCCAGGGAGGTACTACCGTCCTACCAAGTGAGTGTAAAACAAAAGCCTGTAATTGTTTTACATGATGGTAGGATTGCTGGTGTCATTTTTTCTGTCTCATAAACATGCAAGATTTCAGGTACGTCTTGCTACTTCTATTTACACTTAGGTCACACTACACATGCATGTACAAGCATATATATACACACACCCCTCTGGGTTTTCTGTTATTTTCTTTCTAGTTCTTGTTCTTGTTTATTTCCTATTATCTCCATGGGGAAGTGGAACAGAATTCTTCCTCCGTAAGCCATGCGTGTTGTAAGAGGCGACTAAAATGCCGGGAGCAAGGGGCTAGTAACCCCTTCTCCTGTATAAATTACTAAATTTGAAAAGAGAAACTTTTGTTTTTCTTTTTGGGCCACCCTGCCTCGGCCGGTTTATTGAAAAAAAAAAAAACACTGTGAAGATAAACTAGCATCAGTATTCCAACTAAAGTTTATGGCAGAATTATTATTAAAAGGGTTAGGAGTAAGACAAAAAATAGTATTGCAGAGACAATTTTAAAGAATTGGGGATGTGTAGACTACATGCCTACATTCAATCTTTGATGTGAGTGGCATATAAAGGTAAAAAGCTGTTTGCTACAGTTAGGCCTTTAGAAAAAGCATGAAGGGAGCTGTGAGATGCAGCACGTTACACTTCCTACCTTACCTCTACTACTACCACTCCTCCCACCTCTCTTGTCCTGTCCCTGCCAGCTGGCCTTCATATACTGCCTCCTTCTCTTCTTTCTGTTAGTGTAACTTTGTAAATGGTCCAAGTCAGGCCAAAACATCACCGTAAGCTCCTGTCTCCTGTGTGCAGGTAATTTGTGTATTGTTCCAATAACGGTATTGTGCCTTTTTGTTCCTCTAAACATTTATAGATGGGATTGTAAAAAAGAAGTGAATGCTAGGGTGTTGGGAAGAGGTGTTGAATTAAAAGATGTTGGATCTGATACAAAGTGAGAGTTATCACAGTTGCTTGTTGCTGATGACCCACTTCTTTTAGGATATTCTGAAAACAAATTGCAAAGGTTGGTAGGCGAACTTGTGAGGGTGTATAAAAGAATGAAATTAAAAGTGAACATAATGATTCAGGTACTATCGTGGCCGGGTTGAGTCCAGTGACTGTGATGGAAGCAAAAACATATTTTTTGTGGATCATGGAGAAAGACTAAAGATACCAACTAATCAGGTAAATTTTGTCATTAATATTTTATCCTATTAAGAAAATCTATTTATATGAACTTCTTATGCTATACCTTGTATTTGTAAATGAACACAGAAAAAGTACAGTATAATTAGTTTTACTTTGATTGTATTCATCCCATTTATCCATGTATGTACATTATTGAACAAGTGCACCAACTACTCCAAACCTATATCTCCACCTGCTCTTATTATTTCTATATTGATCCTATCTATTCCAATTGTTTTATCTCCTTTCATTCATTCCACTGCCTCAGGTAGTTGCCCTACACACATCTGGCTCTTCCTCACTCCACAAGATCTTATACCTCCTGTCTAGTGCATGAAAGCACTGCCTCCATTTCGTCAACATTTAACAACTCCTCAAAATATTCCCTCCCATGTTACTATTAATAACTCCCTTCTTTCATTTTTAATATGAAATCCATTTGTTCCCTAGACTTTGTCAACTTTTTCTTATTCTTAGCAAAATTTTTTTATAAAGCCTCACCCACTCTCCCAGTGGCTCTCCTTTTGCACTCCCTCTCCACTTTAACTTGTCTTTTAATCTCCACCTCCTCTGCCTTCTATATATTGCAAAAACCTCTCATATGCTAACTTTTTCTCCTTTACCACCCTCTTTACCTCGTCATTCTGCAGATCTCTCCTCTTCTCTCGCCACACCCATTCATTTTATATATTTATTTTTAATGTGCCACAGATTTTTGCTTGTCCAAGTACTTTTGTGGAGGTACTTCCTGCTCAGGCCATTCCCTGTCGTCTGGCTTATGTAACCATCCTCAGTAACATGAAAGACAAAGCCAAGGACCTAATGTCACATTTGACTTACACTACCGCTGTTTGGACTGTTAAGGTACTTCAGCAATTTTTTCTTCAGCTATTTAATGTTTATTATATTAAGTGTTATTCATTTCTGACTCAATTTTCTAGTAAATTTAATTTGTCAAAATAAGAAAATAAGATTATTGTCATTTCTGTATATAACAAAATAGTAAGCAGGTAATTGCAAGTTGAATATCAACTTCTCTTTTGCTTACAAAATTTCCATTTTCCAATAAAGTAAGTTGACCTAAAGTGCTAAAGTTTTTTCCACCACTCTCTTAAGCTGCCTTTTCAGATCAGTATTAAGTTTCTGCATGTGGCATCAAGGGTTACTGACTCACTGTATAGAACATTAAGCTCCATTGACAAATGAATACACATACCATGCCAGCTTTGAGATTTTTCTTCTCTTTATAAACCTCTATGATAGTGCATCTATCACAGTTCAAGTGACCCCCCTGTACGTACTGTAACATCCTCTTAAAAGGACATATTTCAGGAGCCTTGTGCCTCCTACAGTAGTGTGCATATTAACTGGGACAGTGATGAAGTAAGACACTTATTTGGAAAATTAATGTTTATTGGAAGAACACATGGCAATGATATGACAGATAATTGATTTAATAAGAGATGTGACTACCTTTTGCTTTTATAAACATTGCTATATGCTTTGGCATAGAATAAGCCAGTGTTGAACACATTTTGGCAAGTTCTTCGTCATGGTACCAGGTCCCAATAACAGCAGTAATTAGCTGCACAGTAGAGCAGTCCTAATTTGCAATCCTGCATTTGGTTATTGCCCATAGTTTTTCAATTGGGATGAGATGAAGAGAATTTCCAAGCCAATTTAGAATGCTTATTCCACTTTCTTCGAAGAATGTCAGCATTTTTCTGGAAGTGCGGCATGGAGCAAGATTCTGCTGGAAAAATGCCTTCTCCATCAGGAAAGTCTATTCAAAATGGGAAGCAAATGAGCTGCCAGGATTGCCTTGTATTTGTTACTGTTCATTGTTCCTTCAACAATAACAAGCTGTCCAGGGCCTTTAGTGGTAAAACTATTCTAAAACATCTTCTTAGGTGGTTGTTTTGGCACTTGTTGAATATGTCCATTCTGAAGAGGTTCACCTTTGCTCCATCTCACTACTACAACTGATCTGTACCCATGTACTTCAGTGTACACCTCATCTGAAAATATAACTTTTCTCCATTCATCTGTTGTCCTATTTCTTATAATAACCTTGTCATTGTGAGGTGAGGTCTTAGTTTTTATTCCACATCTTCAAACAACAAAATTTATTTCTTTGCAAGATTACATTGAGATTATGAAATTACAATAATGAGTTGCAGTGCAAAGAGAGACACTGTCATGCCTAGGCATTATGGGCTGACTTAATTTAATGGCTTACAGACTATTTAACACTAAAGAAATTGATCATAGTTTGTTTAAGTTGTACATCTTTTTTTATTTATAGTTGACAGTAATTTTACTCTACAATAGTTTCAATAATAAATATTGAAATTATATCATGGGAATATAACATTGTGAGTTGTTGAAAGTAGTTTACAGTATGAGAATGCTACAATTGGGTGTAAGGCAGTATTATTTTGGGTAGGTATTTATAGTATTTATTTTCTTATAGTCGGACTTGAGTCCTGGAAATGGGAAGTACAATGCCTGCACTTTAAAGGAGGGGTTTGGGATATTGGCAGTTTGGAGGGATATGTTGTGTATCTTTATATGTATATGCTTCTAAACTGTTGTATTCTGAGCACCTCTGCAAAAGCAGTGATAATGTGTGAGTGTGGTGAAAGTGTTGAATGATGATGAAAGTATTTTCATTTTGGGGATTTTCTTTCTTTTTTGGGTCACCCTGCCTCGGTGGGAGACGGCCAACTTGTTGAAAAAAAAAAATTATAGTAAAATGTAGTATTAATAATGTATGAACTATGGGCATCTAGATTTGAAGTTTTAAGATTTAGGTAAATGGGGGATTTTGGTAAAGTTGAGTATTTAGTTTAGGGTGAGTAGGTGGCTTTTGAGGAGCCTTAAATTGGTGTTCAGACCTGGTTACTTTAGTATTTACTGGTAATGAATTCCAAATTTTGGGGCCCTTAACACAACGCTCCCCAATCACCAGTGTCATCAGCTCTCTTCAGAATCCAACCAACATTTGACTTTGCTATTCTCAAATTTTTGGCACTCTGTCTGGTACTCAGATCAGCATGTTTTCTAAGAGGTATGATACTTCCATGCTTCCTAGGTGTAACTTCCATCATGAATTTCAGCAGTAATCATGAAGGGGAGAATTTGGCAAAAACCATATTAACTCGTGGAGCACAATTACAGGAACAGGCTTACAGAACAACAGCTGTTATAGCACTGGCGAGAATCTCATGGTAACAACACAGCTGGATGGTTGCCAGAAGTCTGTAGCAAACTCTTCTAAAAAGAAAAGAACCCAAAGTACATTAATTAAACCAGAGACTAAGACATATTATGAGATAATCACAAAATTTACTCTTCTTCTTTCAACACACCGGCCGTGTCTCACTGAGGCGGGGTGGCCCAAAAGGAAAAACGAAAGTTTCTCCTTTCAAATTTAGTAATATATATACAGGAGAAGAGGTTACTAGCCCCTTGCTCCCGGCATTTTAGTCGCCTCTTACAACACACATGGCTTACGGAGGAAGAATTCTGTTCCACTTCCCCATGGAGATAAGAGGAAATAAACAAGAACTAGAAAGAAAATAGAAGAAAACCCAGAGGGGTATGTATATATATGCTTGTACATGTATGTGTAGTGTGACCTAAGTGCAAGTAGAAGTAGCAAGACGTACCTGAAATCTTGCATGTTTATGAGACAGAAAAAAGGACACCAGCAATCCTACCATGTAAAACAATTACAGGCTTTCGTTTTACTCACTTGGCAAGATGGTAGTACCTCCCTGGGTGGTTGCTGTCTACCAACCTACTACCTAGGAAAATTTACTCTTTTTTTTTTTTCTTCCAACAAGTCGGCCGTCTCCCACTACTGTGCAGAGTTATCATATCCCTTGTTGCTTACTTCTGTTGTGTTAGCTGTTAACAGTTCTGGGGCTCATTGCCTTCCAAGGCTAGTTTTAGACTATGCTTCCTATATTGAAAAGGAAATGTTGCAGAAATAATTATTAATACTCACGTGATCAGCCAGTGTGTAAATATCCCTGACACGGCAAAATTTGCGATTGCGTAATTTGTCAGTTTCATACTTTTTGTTTTATCACCTTCAGGAAAAGATTCTCACCATTTCATAAGAAAAAATAAGTTAGTTTTTTTTTTAAATTCTTGGACCCTGTGGACAAGTTTCAAATCAGGAGTCTGAACCCTGAAGGGGGTTAAAGTTGGTGGCAGCAGTGATATACACACACCAGCAAAGAGACTGCTTCACTGAGGAGGAGGAGGTGAAGAAGCTGCTAAATGACCTTGATACCTCAAAGGCAATGGGACCGGACATCATCTCCCCGTGGGTCCTCGGGGCAGGAGCAGATATACTGTGTGTGCCATTAACCACAATCTTCAACACATCCCTTGAAACTGGGCAACTACCTGAGGTATGGAAGACCGCAAATGGAGTTCCCATTTTTAAAAAAGGAGACAGAAAAGAGGCACTAAATTACAGACCAGTGTCATTGACGTGTATAGTATGCAAAGTCATGGAAAAGATTATCAGGAGGAGAGTGGTGGAGCACCTGGAATGGAACAAGATTATAAACGACAACCAGCACGGATTCATGGAAGGCAAATTTTGTGTCGCAAACCTTCTGGAGTTTCATGACAAAGTTACAGAAGTAAGACACGAGAGAGAGGGGTGGGTTGATTGCATTTTCTTGGACTGCAAGAAGGCCTTTGACACAGTTCCTCACAAGAGATTAGTGCAGAAACTAGAGGATCAGGCGCGTATAACAGGAAGGGCACTTCAATGGATCAGAGAATACCTGACAGGGAGGCAAAGAGTCATGGTATGGGATGAGGTATCACAGTGGACACCTGTGAAGAGCGGGGTCCCACAGGGGTCAGTCCTAGGACCAGTGCTAGTTTTGGTATATGTGAATGACATAGTGGAAGGGATAGACTCAGAGGTGTCCATTTTTGCAGATGATGTGAAGTTAATGAGGAGAATTATATCAGATGAGGATCAGGCAGGACTTCAAAGAGACCTGGACAGGCTGGACACGTGGTCCAGCAACTGGCTTCTTGAATTCAACCCTGCCAAATGCAAAGTCATGAAGATCGGAGAAGGGCAAAGAAGACCACAGACAGAGTATAGGCTAGGTGGCCAAAGACTGCAAACCTCGCTCAAGGAGAAAGATCTTGGGGTGACCATAACACCAAGCATGTCTCCGGAAGCACGCATTAACCAGATAACTGCTGCAGCATATGGGCTCCTGGCAAACCAGAGAATAGCTTTCCGATACCTTAGTAAGGAATCGTTCAAGACACTGTACACTGTGTACATCAGGCCCATACTGGAGTATGCAGCACCAGTTTGGAACCCACACCTGGTTAAGCACATCAATAAATTAGAGAAAGTGCAAAGGTTTGCAACAAGGCTAGTTCCGGAGCTCAGGGGTATGTCCTATGAAGAAAGGTTGAGGGAAATCGGACTGATGACACTGGAGGACAGGAGGGTCAGGGGAGACATGATGATAACATACAAAATACTGCGTAGAATAGATAAGGTGGACAGAGACAGGTTGTTCCAGAGAGGGGACACAGAAACAAGGGGTCACAACTGGAAGCTGAAGACTTGGACGAGTCACAGGGATATTAGGAAGCATTTCTTCAGTTATAGAGTCATCAGGAAGTGGAATAACCTAGCAAGTGATGTAGTGGAGGCAGGAACCATACATAGCTTTAGGACAAGGTATGACAAAGCTCAGGAAGCAGAGAGAGAGAGGACCTAGTAGTGATCAGTGAAGAGGCGGGGCCAGGAGCTGAGTCTCGACCCCTGCAACCACAATTAAGTGAGTACAATTAGGTGAGTACTAGGGAAGGGCCTTCATAAGGCATGTACGTATAGTATAACCTTGGACTTCAAACATACCAGAACTTAAACAAACTGGACTCTGAACAGTTTTGTTCAGAAAAACTGATCTGGTCTTTGAATGATTTTCTGGAATCTGAATGCACTAACTTGTTTAAAAATCAGTTGTAAAAAAAAAAAAACTTTACATGAAAGTTGTTTCAAAAGTGCTTTAAAGTGACCTCTGACACTAATTTAACTCTCAGAGACTTTTGGAAGAGTCAGTTCAACATCCTCCAGTCAATAAGACTGATGATTAAATTTAGCCTGGGAAATACTGTTTCGGACAGAGAACTTTCCGCAGTTTGAACACCATCTGGAAACCAAAGTATGTATAGATACATCAGGATCACCATTATAATTAAGATTTAAAAATTTAAACTGCTCGCATCCCACTGATTGTCACAACATTTAATGTTTTGGAGAAGAATGTCCTATGTGTTATAATTAAATCATCATCTTTCAACAAACCAGCTGTATCCCACCGAGGCAGGGTGACCCCCCAAAAAAAACAGAAGGTCCTCTTTTTAACTTTAGTAATGTATACGGGAGAAGGGGATTCGTCTCCTGTATGTGTTAGCCCCTTGTTCCTGGCATGTTAGCTGCTTCTACCACACGTATGGCTTATGGAGGAAGAAGTCTGTTCCACTTCCCTGTGGATATAAGAGAAAACAAACAAGAACTAGTAAGAAAATAGAAGAAAACCCAGAGGGGTGTGTGTGTGTACATATATATATATATGCTTGTACAGTGGAACCTCGGTGTTCGTCTTTAATTCATTCCAGAAAGCCTGACGAAAACCGAATTCGACGAAAACTGAAGCAATATTTCCCATAAGAAATAATGTAAATCCAATTAATCCGTTCCAGACACCCAAAAGTATTAACAAAAATACATTTTATAGATAACTATGGTTTTACATAAAGAAAACAATGAAAAATAAATATAAAGGACTAATGAAATGGATAAATGAACATTTAACATCACTTCTACCTTTATTGAAGACTCTTGTTGGCATATGGAAGACAGTGAGGAGGAGAAGTTATTGTTTGGAAGGCAAATTCCTTTCCATAAGGACTTCAGGTATCAGCTCTCTATTTGGGGTTACTTCCCTTCTTTGTCTTTTACTGGAACTAGGACCAGCTTGAGTCACTGGACCCCTGTTGCACAAAAAATCTGTTCAGAGAGGTCTGTTTCTGGTATCTCTTTAAGATTTGCCTAAAATGGGACAAGGCACTGTCATTGAACATGTTGCAGACACGGCTTGCAGAAGCTTTGTTAGGGTGATATTTTCTCCACAAAACTTTGCAACTCATTCCACTCTGCACACATGTCCCTAATCACTGAAGAAGGCACATTCTTCCCTCTCTTTTCCTCCTCCTCCTCTGAAGCAGTTTCCTCAGCTGCAATCTGTTGCTGTTCCAGTTGAAGTTGTTGCAGCTCTTTAGTGGTTAGCTCTTCCCTATGATCGTCCACCAACTCCTCCACATCCTGGCCACTCGCATCCAACCCCGTGGTCTACCAGTTCTTTCTTGAATTCTATCGTGTTTCTCGCCTTCTTTATCAAAGGGCTGGCACTCGGAACTTTCTTTGGCCCCATGGCTGCTTATTTAGCAGTCACACTCAATAAACAAGCACAAAAAACAATTATTACGAAATGCTTCGTATGAACGTGCAGGGCAATGTTCACTCGACAAGAAACAAAGCCAGACTGACTCAGAACGCATGCGTGGGAAGACAGGTGGACACTTTCGGTACGGCAGACGAAAACCAGGGTGATGAATAAAAACTGGGACAAAATTTTGACGAAAAAAGTCGTCGAAAACTGAATTCGATGAAAACCGGGGTAAACAAAAACTGAGGGTCCACTGTATATGCATGTGTAGTGTGACCTAAATGTCAGTAGAAGTAGCAAGACGTACCTGAAATCTTGCATGTTTATGAGACAGAAAAAAGACACTAGCAATCCTACCATCATGTCAAACAATTACAGGTTTCCATTTTACATTCACTTGGCAGGACAGTAGTACCTCCCTGGGTGGTTGTTGTTTACCAACCTACTACCAAGAATGTATCTTTTTATTTTTTATATCAGAATTATGTAATATGTTTCAGGCAGTAGATGTTCAAGACACAGTAGATGGGAAAATATATAGCGTAGACTTGACTGATGCTTCAGCTAATCCACCCAAGAAAATGTGGCAAGAGCTTGTACATGCAGGAGTAGCTGTCACTATGGAACAGGTGTGTGTGATGCTGTTGTTTCACTTTTATTACAAGTTTCAGTAGGAGTGAATGGAGGCAAGTGGTTTTTAACCCTTAAGCTGTCCAAACATTGATCTACGTTCACTTGCATAGTGCTCTGAATAATTTTTTTTTTTTTTTTTGTAAATGAAGAGTGCATATTTCCTGGCATCCTCAGATTTTGTCATACTGCACACACTGAGTGCACAGACCCATTCTCTCATGTTTAGGCAACTCAGGCCTATCGTGCCAAGGTTGAAGGCATGTAAAATAAAACGTAGATCTACGTTCGGAGCACTACACACGTGAACCTAGAGCTACATTTGGACAGTTTAAGGGTTAATGGATGTACTGTTGGAGTGTGATTGAGGTAATTTAGGGAAACTAGTTAGCTAAACTTGAGTCTTGGAGGGAAGAGTAGTACCTGCACTCTGAAGGACAGTTATGGAGGGTAATGTGTTTGTGGTAAATAAATTTATTTAGGTACAGGTACATATAAGTAAAATTATCATACATAGTATAAATTACCCACCAGGATAACCCAAAAAATCAGACAAAATCACTTACTTCCATTGTGGTCCTTGATGGTTTCAGGTTTCCAGAAGGACTACTATTCAATGACGGTTTTTTTTTTTTTTTTTTTTTTTTTTTTTTTTTTTTTTTACACAGGGTTTGACAAGGTTAAGGATCCCTAGCTTTATTGACAAGCTATTTACAGGTTAAGGATTCCTAACTTTATTGGCAAGCTAAGAGCTGTTACCTACATCAGCTCATTTGAAAGCATTTTTATTGTTATGAGACACAAGTAGGGAACAGGATGAAATTGGAACACACTGCCTTGGTGGGAGATGACCATTTAGTTAACCCTTTCAGGGTCCAGAGGCCAAATTTCAAAGCGTACACCAGGGTCCAAGAATTTAAAAAAAAATATATTATTTTTTCTTATGAAATGGTAAAGAATTTTTTTCTGAAGGTTATAAAACAAAAAGTATGAAATTTGATGGAAAATTGACAAAATTATGCTCTTGTGAATTTTGACGTGTCGGCGATATTTACGCATCGGCAATTTTGCCGACTTTGACTCCCATTTTAGGTCAATTATGTTATTCTAGTCGACCAAATTCTTAGCTATTTCACTAGTATTACTTCTATTCTATCGATTGAGCACAAGAAATCGCCAAGTCAACTGTTTCAACTACAAAATAGTGGTCAGAAATTGGTATTTGGCCAATTTAATGCAAAATTCAAAATATTCCAATTTCAAAATAGGGTCCAGAATAAACAATGCAGGCATTCCTGGCACTAAACTAACATTTCCTCTTTTCATTAGTTACATTTTCAGGCTTTACAATTGAATTCCATTTTGATTTTTTATTCACATAATGAATTTTTACTCAAACCAAAAAATTGAAGATATACTGTCATGCAGTATTATAATAATTTTATAAATATCACCACATTTATGAACATATATTAGACCCACCAGCTGGCATGTATTAGACGTGTGAGGTCATTTGTTTACTCTTGAACATCGGCAAAAATTTAACATTTCCACTACTTTGAGCTCAGTTTCAAGCCATTTCCAGTACTAAAACCAATCAAAATAATCTATTTCTGTAATATATCTTCCATTCTGTCAAACGAGACCAATAAATCGCAAATATGTAAAACTAAAAAAACATGAAAAAACACTGCGAAGTCGCTGCTTCAATTGAAAATTAGGGTCTCAGTTTTTTCTCTTGTTATGCACTGTGTGCTGCAGGATTTGTTTTATGTAGTGCACATATACCACATAGATGTATTCTCTCATATCTAGGCCCAAATTTACCGCTCACAGCTTATTAGAGTGAGCTGAGCTCATGGCATAGATCTACAGTTTGGACCCTCAACTCACAGTCGTAGAACTACGGCACAGACCCTGAAAGGGTTAAAAAGAAGAGTGAAATTGTGACAATAGAATTTTTTACCTATTTATTAATTAAAAAAAAAAAACTAAGTGCTAGATATGGAAATTTTATGACCTTTTTCTAATAAAATAAATAATGGATATTTCAGCAGTAGTTTTTCATGGAGAAATGACTCTTTGGGAACTAACCAGGCAACATATGATGCAGTGAGTGGGTTTTTCATAGAAATTCTATAAACAATCTAGGTGTATTAACATCATTATGTTGTATTAACATAAATATGTTGTATTAACATCAGTATGTTGTATTAACACCAGTATGCTGTATTAACATCAGTATGTTGTATTAACATCAGTATGTTGTATTAACATCAGTATGTTGTATTATATTAACCTCAGTACACATCTGAATGACTCTTCTCACATTACTTTACTGTACTTATTTTACCAGATGGAGGAGACTGAGCATGAGAGATTTCCATCTATTAACAGCTTCGATGTTTCCTGTATAGAGGATAAGGAAGCTACAGATTTTCTCTTAAGTGTCCCTGCAGTAAAGGTTAGTTTACAAAGCATAGGGTAGTACTGTACTCTACTGACTCTACTGTGCTATGCTTGAAGCATAAAGTAATGTACAATGAAGTATACATTTGTTGCAATAAATGGAAAAATGTAGAAATTGTGAATATACTGTTCTTTTACTTGTCAAAACTATTGCACACACTTCAAAAATATCACTTAATGTGATGAATAACTTCAAAATTTAATATTTTCTGGGGAATTTGTTTCTGTTATTAGATGTGAGGTAATTATTTTGATGCACTATTTATTAGGGATTAGGATGTATATATATTGTGTTTTCTGTATGCACAAGTGTACAAGGACTATGAAGAAAAGTCGTGAAAAATAAATAAAAGGAAGTGCTCTTGCACACTCCTGTACTTCACTCCCTCCTTCCCTGCAACACACTATGACCCTCTCAGGTTTAGCATCTAATTTGATTGTTGTATATTATCATTCAGTCAAGTGTTTTTCTGGAGGCTTGCTGACATCACAGCTCAAATAACTTTATGAATTGCGGCCTCCTCCACCCCTTCTTTAGAGTGTAGGCACTATATTTCTCACCTCCAGGAATCAAATTCAGCTAACTGGTTTCCCCTCATACTCCAGTAGTGCATCAAATCATAAAGACTACTTCTTTCCACCTACTCCTGTTTAACATTCTAACACAAACCAATTCAGTGTCCAAGCCCCTAGCACTCGAAACCTCTCCTTACTCCTCCATCACCCCTTCCTGGGATGACCCATACTCCTCTCTCCATTCCAGATTTATATGCCCTCCTAGTCATCCTATTTTGCTCCATCCTCTAAAAGTCCAAACCACCTCAACAATCCCTCCTCTGCCCTCTTAATATTTTTGTTAATCCCATACCTTCTAATCTTCAAGCTCCAAATTCTCTGCAAAATATTCACACTATTCATTGCCCTCCAACACATCAACTCCACTGCCTCCATTCTTCTACTTGCTTTGACATATAAAACCCATGCTTCACACCCATAGAACAGTGTTGGTACCACTATACTCGGGTAAATGTCCCATTTTGCCTCCATGGAAAAGGTTTTGTTTCCACAGATGCCTCAGTGTACCACCCACCTTTTTTACTTGTCATCTCTTTGGTTCACCTCATCTTTCATAGACTCATCTGCCAACAAGTCCACTCCCAAATATCTAAACACACACACTACTTTCTATATTCCCTCTCTCCCTCCAGTTTGATATAAGTATGTACAATCTTTTATTACCTACATTTATTGTTACTCTCATTACCTTGCACTTTTCTGTGTTCACTTTTAATTTCCTTCTCTTGCATACCCTCCCAAATTTGTCTATCAGCCTTTGGAACTTTTTTTCAGAATCTCTCAAAAAGAATTGTTATTGGTTAAAAGCAACTGTAACAACTCCCACTTTGTTATATTATTTTTATTTTTATTAACACACCAGGCATTTCCAACCAAGGTAGGGTGGCCCAAAAAAGAAAAACTTTAATCATTTACTCCATCACTGTCTTGCCAGAGGCAGTCTTACACTACAGTTATAAAACTGCAACATTAACACCCCTCCTTCAGAGTGCCAGCACTGTACTTCCCATCTCCAGGAATCAAGTCCGGCCTGCCGGTTTCCCTGAATCCCTTCATAAATGTTACCTTGCTTATACTCTTGTATAATTTTGAAAAAAATATAAGATGGATTAATGAAAATTATATTATTATTTTTATTATCACACTGGCCGATTCCCACCAAGGCAGGGTGGCCCGAAAAAGAAAAACTTTCACCATCATTCACTCCATCACTGTCTTGCCAGAAGGGTGCTTTACACTACAGTTTTTAAACTGCAACATTAACACCCCTCCTTCAGAGTGCAGGCACTGTACTTCCCATCTCCAGGACTCAAGTCTGGCCTGCCGGTTTCCCTGAACCCCTTCATAAATGTTACTTTGCTCACACTCCAACAGCACGTCAAGTATTAAAAACCATTTGTCTCCATTCACTCCTATCAAACACGCTCACGCATGCCTGCTGGAAGTCCAAGCCCCTCGCACACAAAACCTCCTTTACCCCCTCCCTCCAACCTTTCCTAGGCCGACCCTACCCCGCCTTCCTTCCACTACAGACTGATACACTCTTGAAGTTATTCTGTTTGCTCCATTCTCTCTACATGTCCGAACCACCTCTACAACCCTTCCTCAGCCCTCTGGACAACAGTTTTGGTAATCCCGCACCTCCTCCTAACTTCCAAACTACGAATTCTCTGCATTATATTGGCACCACACATTGCCCTCAGACATGACATCTCCACTGCCTCCAGCCTTCTCCTCGCTGCAACATTCATCACCCATGCTTCACACCCATATAAGAGCGTTGGTAAAACTATACTCTCATACATTCCCCTCTTTGCCTCCAAGGACAAAGTTCTTTGTCTCCACAGACTCCTAAGTGCACCACTCACCCTTTTCCCCTCATCAATTCTATGATTCACCTCATCTTTCAGAGACCCATCCGCTGACACGTCCACTCCCGTGTATTAATATAATATATGGCATTTAAAGCACCCCATAGTGATTATTATCATTATTATTATTATGGCATCAACACTAGTGAGACAGTCTTAGTGATTTTAATGTGTACCTGCACACCCACACAGTGTGTGAGTATATTTTAATGTGTACCTGCACACCCACACAGTGTGTGAGTATATTTTAATGTGTACCTGCACACCCACACAGTGTGTGAGTATATTTTAATGTGTACCTGCACCACACACAGTGTGTGAGTATATTTTAATGTGTACCTGCACACCCACACAGTGTGTGAGTATATTTTAATGTGTACCTGCACACCCACACAGTGTGTGAGTATATTTAGGTTCAGGTACAAATAAGTATAATTATCAGAGTATATATAAAATATACAGTAGCTTTAAAATACTTGAAATTTTGGAAAGTTCCCAACCATAATGCAAATGAAAATTTTTATTTCTTTGCAAAACTTATGATGTGTGGTTTACATATTACAAAATATTAAGTACAAAGAAAGCCACTAGCATGCCTAAGTATTTCTGGCAGACTAATCCTAATTCTTACTGACTACACTGTATTGACAAAGGTTATGGAACAGTACATTTTAATATACGCATTTTAATATACGTTACTTCACAATAATATAAAAGTTTGGTAATTAAAAAATTTATCATTAATAAGGTTGATAACAGCTAGGTAGCAAAAAACATAACAGTATTACAATTAGTATAATTTAGTAATGGGAATGGTTTTATCTAAGCACGATGTTTCTATAATTGAAAGTTCTTCTGTTGGCTGAGTATTTCAGGCCAACTTAGGACTGACTTAAGGTTAATTAGGCAATAAATATATTAGGAATTTTATGTTTACAGTCATTTAGGTAACTGTAAATATAAAATTGGGATCATTACAGATAATGAGAGTAAGTATTATGTTTTGGATGTGTTCATGATGGGTTTTTACATGTATGGTTTTCACATTGTTAGCTGATGTTGGGGTGTGTTAGGAAGATAAGGTGTTTTTCAATGGTAGTTTTGAAAATGCTGGTTGAGTCAGCAGTACTGGAGATTCTGGGCAGAGTTCCAGAGAGACATAGAGCTCACAGTGTGTTGCATAATAATTTGAAATGTCCTCATTAGCAAAATGCCGTAAAGCAAAACACCATAAAGCAGGGTCCTACTGTAATGCATACAGCATACAAAATGTGTTAATCAACTGTTTATGTTATCAGTAAGGCTTCTGGTCAAGAGTAGGCTATTAGTAATGTTTTTGGGGAGCTCAAAAGTTGTGTGTGGATTTTCAACTGCGCGGGGGATCAGCGCCCCTAGCTCCTGCATTGTTCAAGGGTCAACTTTATTTTTATATCTAATTTGTTTTCCAGGCCCTGATAGAAGAAGATAGACATGCATTGAAAATATTGGGCAAGGTGCCCATCACAGGTGAAGAGACTTCAGCAAGCCTGCATCACACTGGTAATTCTTCAGTGACCTCGCATCACACTATTTCTTCAGTAACCTTGCATCAAACTGATATTTCCGATGCAACAGAAAAATTGGATCTTAAAACAGTCTCGTCACTAATGATGGGAATCAGAAAGGTCGACAGTATAAGGAGAACCTCTTGAAAGTAAAGAAAGCTGGTTCCTTGGAGTTATGTAACATGGAGAGATCTGGTGCAGAGAAGTCTCCATTGAATGTAGTTCAACAGACAAAGAATTGCAGAGCATCTCAGATGGCATCAAGTGCTTTCCGTGAAAAGTGCCTTAATGTGCCACCTTTAGAAGCTGTTGAAGGCATCACTGCTAAATTATTCCCAGATACATCGTGGAGTCAGGATGAAGATTCAGTATCCGTGACTCTACACCTTGTGGGGGTGGAGGCATACAAGTGCCGCCTTGGATCATCTCGACTGACCTTCATGTAATGTTAAAAGTATTTTTGGTTTATAATTACACATGTAGTAGGTTGGTAGACAGCAACCGCCCAGGGAGGTACTACCGTCCTGCCAAGTGAGTGTAAAATGAAAGCCTGTAATTGTTTTACGTGATGGTAGGATTGCTGGTGTCTTTTGTCTGTCTCATAAATATGCAAGATTGCAGGTACGTCTTGCTACTTCTACTTACACTTAGGTCACTACACATACATGTACAAGCATATATATACACACCCCTCTGGGTTTTCTTCTATTTTCTTTCTAGTTCTTGTCTTGTTTATTCTTACCTCCATCGGGAAGTGGAACAGAATTCTTCCTCCGTAAGCCATGCGTGTTGTAAGAGGCAACTAAAATGCCAGGAGCAAGGGGCTAGTAACCCCTTCTCCTGTATAAATTACTAAATTTATAAAGAGAAATTTTTGTTTTTCTTTTTGGGCTACCCTATCTCGGTGGGATATGGCCGGTTTGTTGAAAGAAGAATACTTACATATGTATATGTATATTGAAATGCTAGATGTCAGATATTAAATATACAATATGTTAGATCAGTGTGAATGAAGACAAGTATATAGTTTTTTAATTTGATGTGCTGTGGGAGTTTAGGCAAGTAGTCAAGTTAAACTCTTGCAACTCATGAGGGGGGGGGGGGAGGCAGTTTCATGGATCCAATGTCAATCTTGAACCTGCAGATAATAGGAAATCTTGTGTATCCAAATTACTTAAATGTTTTATGACTGTAATCTGCCTAATTTTGACATATAGAATGAGCACACGTTAAATTAAATCCTATTTCTTCTCTCAACAAACTGGCTGAGGCTGGGTGGCCCAGTAAGAAAAAAAAAATTTCTCTTTTTAACTTCGGTAATGTATACAAGAGAAGGGGTTACTAGCTCTTTGCTCCCAGCATCTTAGTCACCTCTTACTTCATGCATGCTTATGGAGGAAGATTTGTTCTGCTTTCCCATGGAGATAAAAGGAAATAAACAAGAACAAGGACTAGTAAGATGTACATGTATGTGTAGTGTGACCTAAGAGTAAGTAGAAGTAGCAAGACTTACCTGAAATCTTGCACATTTATGAGACAGAAAAAAGACACCAGCAATCCTACCATCATGGAAAACAATTACAGGCTTCCATTTCATGTTCATTTGGACAGAAGTATCTCCCTGAGCGGTTGCTGTCTACCAACCTACTACCTAGGGATGTCCAATTTATAATTTTTTTTTTTATTATATAAACAAGTTGGCCATCTACCATCAAAGCAGGGTGACCCAAAAAGAAAGAAAATCCCCAAAAAGAAAATACTTTCGTCATTATTCAAAACTTTCACCTCACTCACACATAATCACTGTTTTTGCAGAGGTGCTCAGAATACAACAGTTGAGAAGCATATACGTATAAAGATACACAACATATCCGTCCAAACTGCCAATATCCCAAACACCACCTTTAACCCTTTGAGGGTTTTCGTCGTACTAGTACGTTTACGCGTAGGGGTTTTTGACGTACTAGTACTCATAAATTCTAGCGGCCTCATATCTAGTGGGAGAAAGCTGGTAGGCCTTCATATGAAAGAATGGGTCTATGTGGTCAGTGTGCACAGTCTAAAAAAAATCCTGCAGCACACAGTGCATAATGAGAAAAAAAAACTTTGACCATTTTTTTTTAATAAATCAGCGACTTTGCAGTGTATTTTCGTATGGTATTTATTGTTGTATTCTAGTTTTCTTGGTCTCATTTTATAGAATGGAAGACATATTACAGAAATTGAGATGATTTTGACTGGTTTTACAATGAAAGGTGCCTTGAAATTGAGCTCAAAGTAGCAGAAATGTTCGATTTTTACCAAACTTCAAAAGTAAACAAATCGTGCCAGGCGTGCAATACACGTCAACTGGTGAGTCTAATATTCTTTCACAAGTGCACCAATAATATTTATACCATTTTTTACACTAATGCAGTAGTCTGCATAACAGTAAATCTTATATTTTTTGTGAAAATAAAAATTCAAAGTGGAAAGCAAAAGAATATAAGAGGGGCCTTGAGACGTGACTAATGACTAGAGGAAATGTCATTTTAGTGCCAGGAATGTCTTTCTTGTTTATTCTGGACCCTATTCGGAAATTGGCATCTTTTGAAATTTGTGTGAAATTGGCAAAATTGCTAAATTCTGACCACTGTACTGGATAGTTGAATTTCATAAATGGGTGGTTTCTTGCACCCATTCGATAGAAAAAATGGAGTTCTAGCGAAATATTCATGTTTTTTGTCGACTAGTACAGTGAAATTGGCAGAAAATGGGGCTCAAAGTGGGCAAAAACGCCGATGCGTAAACATCGCCGAGACCGCTAACTTTGCGAGAGCATAATTCCGTAAGTTTTCTATCAAATTTCAAACTTTTGGTGTCTTTATGATCGGGAAAAGATTCTCTATCTTTTCATAAGAGAAAATAATTTTTTTTTTTTTTTTAAATTTGGCCGACCCTGAGAACGAGTTTCGGAGAGGGCCTGTCGACCCTCAAAGGGTTAAAGTGCAGGCACTGTACTTCCCATTTCCAGGACTCAAGTCTGGCTATATAAAAATAACGGGTTTCCCTGAATCCCTTCACTAAATACTACCCTGCTCGCCCTCCAACAGCTCGTCAGGTCCCAAATACCATTCGTCTCCATTCACTCCTATCGAACACGCTCATGCATGCTTGCTGGAAGTCCAAGCCCCTCACCCACAAAACCTCCTTTACCCCCTCCCTCCAACCTTTTCGAGGACGACCCCTACCCCGCCTTCCTTCCCCTACAGATTTATACTCTCTCCATGTCATTCTACTTTGATCCATTCTCTCTAAATGACCAAACCATCTCAACCCCTCTTCAGCCCTCTGACTAATACTTTTATTAACTCCACACCTTCTCCTAATTTCCACTCTGAATTTTCTGCATAATATTTACACCACACATTCCCCTTAGACAGGACATCTCCACTGCCTCCAACCGTCTCCTCACTGCAGCATTTACAACCCAAGCTTCACACCCATATAAGAGTGTTGGTACCACTATACTTTCATACATTCCCTTCTTTGCCTCCATAGATAACATTTTTTGTCTCCACCTATACCTCAATGCACCACTCACCTTTTCTCCTTAATCAATTCTGTGATTAACCTCATCCTTCATAAATCCATCTGCTGACACGTCAACTCCCAAATATCTGAAAACATTCACTTCTTCCATATTCCTCCTCTCCAATTTGATATGCAATTTTTCTTTATCTAAATCATTTGATACCCCTCATCAGCTTACTCTTTTCTTTGTTCTTTCAACTTTCTGCCTTTACACACACCCCCAAACTCATCCACTAACCTTTGCAACTTTTCTGTAGAATCTCCCAAAAGCACAGTATCATCAGCAAAAAGTAACTGTGTCAATTCCCATTTTGTATTTGATTCCCCATAATTTAATACCACCCCTCTCCTGAACACCCTAGCATTTACTTCTTTTACAACCCCACATATAAATACAGTGGACCCCCGGTATTCGATGGCATCGGTATCCGATAAATCCGGTATTCGATACATTTTAACGCAAAAATTTTGCCTTGCCACTCGTTAAAAAACCCGCCACACGCGATTCGTCCGAGACGTGTCCACGTGTGGCCTGAACTGCCCCGTGCGTGCCAGCGTTTACAAGCCAGCCAGTGTGCTCGCATCTAAGCATACATTCGGTACATTCCATATTATCAGTGTTTTTGGTGCTTGTTTCTGCAAAATAAGTCACCATGGGCCCCAAGAAAGCTTCTAGTGCCAACCCTGTGGTAAAAAGGGTGAGAATTAGTATGGAAATTAAGAAAGATTTTGAAGGGTTTGGGGCTAACCCTGAGAAGCCTATGCCAGTTGTGGAATCCATTGTGCCTACTTCAAAAATTAAGGAAATGTGTGCAAAGTGGGTTGAACTGCAAACCTTTATGGATGAAAATCACCCTAACACAGCTATTGCAAGCCATGCTGGTGACTATTACAATGACAATGTTATGGCCCATTTTAGACAAATCTTAAAGGAACGGGAGGTACAGACCTCTATGGACAGATTTGTAGTGCGACAGAGGTCCAGTGATTCTCAAGCTGGTCCTCCTAGTGACATTAAAAGAAGGGAAGTAACCCCGGAAAAGGACTTTCTACCTCAAGTCCTAATGGAAGGGGATTCCCCTTCTAAACAATAAGTTCGACACTCTCCCCTCCTCCCATCCCATCAGTCATCACCAGATCTTCATTAAAGGTAAGTGTCATGTATTCTATTGTTAGTAGAGTACTACAAACTGTGCATGTCTTCTTCAGTTTGTGTGCATTAAACTTAATATTTCATGTGGTAAAAAAAATTTTTTTCATCCTTTTGGGTGTCTTGCATGGATTAATTTTATTTCCATTATTTCTCATGGGGAAAATTAATTCGCCTTTCGATAATTTTGGCATACGATGAGCTCTCAGGAACGGATTAATATTGAATACCGGGGGTCCACTGTATATTAAACAACCATGGTGACATTACACATCCCTGTCTAAGACCCACCTTTACCAGGAAGTATTCTCCCTCTCTTCTACACACCCTAACCTGAGCCTCACTATCCTCATAAAAACTCTTTACAGCATTTAGTAACTTACTACCTATTCCATATACTTGCAGCATCTGCCACATTGCTCCCCTATCCACTCTATCATATGCCTTTTCTAAATCCATAAATGCAATGAAAACTTCCCTACCTTTATCTAAATACTGTTCACATATATGCTTCAGTGTAAACGCCTGAATCGACACATCCCCTACCCACTCTAAAACCTCCTTGCTCATTTGCAATCCTACATTCTGTCTTGCCTCTAATTCTTTCAATAATAACCCTACCATACACTTTTCCTGGTATACTCAGTAAACTTATTCCTCTCTAATTTTTACAATCTCTTTTGTCCCCCTTCCCTTTATATGAAGGAATTATATATGCTCTCTGCCAATCCCTAGGTACCTTCCCCTCTTTCATACATTTATTAAACAAAAATACCAACCACTCCAACACTATATCCCCCCCTGCTTTTAACATTTCTGTCATGATTCCATCAGTTCCAGCTGCTTTACCCCCTTTCATTCTACGTAATGCCTCACTCCCCTCCCCCCCACTCACATCCTGCTCTTCTTCACTCCTAAAAGATGGTACACCTCCCTGTTTAAAAGTTCCTCAGAATATGCCCGTCATCTACCCAATACCTCCATCTCCCCATGTACTAACTCCCCTACTCTGTTTTTAACTGACAAATTCATTCATTCCCTAGGCTTTCTTAACTCATTTATTTTGCTCCAAAATTTTTTTTATTTTCATCAAAATTCCTTGAGTGCCTCTCCCACTCTATTATCTGCTCTCCTTTTACACTCTCTCACCACTCTCTTCACCTTTCTTTTACTCTCCATATACTCTGCTTTTCTTATAACACTTCTGCTTTGTAGAAACCTCTAATAAGCTACCTTTTTCTCTTTTATCACACCCTTTACTTCATCATTTTTTTATTTTTTGTATACATACCTGTTAGGGCTTGTGTGTTTAAAAAAAAAATTAAGTTTTGAGAAGAAAGAAAGAAATAAGTATGATGTATGGAAAAGTATGATGCAAGACCAGTGTGCCAGGTTTAGTGTTAGTGATTAAAATGTTGAAGGATAGTCTTCTGGAGTGATGAGAACCTTCTATATAGTGTTTAGGAATGATGCTAAAAATGACCAGTTGGACGTAAAAGCAAAGAACACAAAGGTTGAAAGACAATAAGAGGATAAAATTGCTATGTATGTTAGACTCTGGGGACAGAGATTGCTGACCTCATTGAAAAAGAAAGACCTGAGGTGAGCATAGTACCTAGCATATGGAGAAAGTAAATTTTTTCAGATGTTTGGGAGTGGACTTGCTGTCAGGGGCTATGAAAGAAACACTGGACCATATAATGAAGAGGAGACTGTAGTCTATGGAGAAGTCATGTTTACAGGTGATGGAGAGTGGACATTAAAAGATGTGAGGTTACCAGCAGTATAGTTAAGAGGGCTGAGGAGGGATAATTGAGGTGGTTTGGACAATTAAAGAGGAATGAGAAAATTAGGATGACTAAGAAGGTTTATAAATCTGGGATGGAAACAGGGTCAGATTAAGCCAAGGGCTTTAGAGGCTGCAGCCCAGGGGCCTCTGCCAGCTGGAGGACCTCCAGAGATGTTCTCAACAATTTACAATTTATTGATGTTTTGGAGAAATTTGTTTCCAGGAAGTTACACAAAGCAAATGTTTGAATTTTAATTGTGGTTAGCCTTGTAAAAATAAATTTAAATTCTTTTAACTTTTTTTACTTTTGAAAATATCACTGGGGGTCTAACAGTACCTGTAGCCCAGGGGCCTGACAGTACCTGTAGCCCAGGGGCCTGACAGTACCTGTAGCCCAGGGGCCTGACAGTACCTGTAGCCCAGGGGTCTGACAGTGCCTGTAGCCCAGGGGCCTGGCAGTGCCTGTAGCCCAGGGGCCTACAAAATCTTAATCCAGCTCTGGGTGGAAGGAAAGGTAGAGGTCATTTTAAGAGGAGTTGGAAGGGACAAGGAATGTTTTGAGTGCTGTGAGCTTGGACATTCAGTAGGCTTGTGTGCATGTTAGATCAGAATTAGTAGAGACAAATGGTTTTTATGATGTACAATTCAAGTGTGAGCAAGGTAACATTTATGAAGGGATTCAGGGAAACTGGTTAGACAGACTTACATCCTCAAGGTGGGAAGTAAAGTACCTTTAATCTGAAGGAAGGATGGGGATGTTGGAATTAGGAGGGTCATCTGAACAGTGATGTCAGAATGCTCCTAGCAAGACAGCTGAATGATTAATGATGAATGTGTTTCTTATTTTTTGGGGGGGTCACCCTACCTCGGTGGCAGGAGACAGCCAGTGTTAAAAGAAAACAGTAGGCAGGTGTATCTGCCTACTTTGTAACTGATAAAGATGTTGCTTCCCTAGTGAGAGGTATTATTTTTTACTGGGACAGTCTTTGTCCTCCCATTTTTATATTTATAATTTTCATAATATAATCTTACTAAACAACAGCATTTTATAGTAATTTTATTTAGAGCCATTTGTATTAACCTTAGTTGTATTAAAGTTATTATATTACATTTTTTGTAATGACATCAGTTTGCTTTCATAAATGTGACTATTGTTGTCAGTTTGATTTTTCCTTTGTTGTTTTGTGGTGCTGCTTTCCTTTTATACAGTTTAACTTCTTGTTTCATTATCAATTTAATTCTCTTTTGTGACAAATTATTGTAATTATCTTTTAGGACTGTAATAGGAGACAACTTTTATGTGATAGATGAAGAGTTAAGAGAAGATATTGATCCTAATCATTCAACAGTAATCATAAAAGGAACATGTGTGTCTATCAACCTCATGAAAGCTACCAAAGGTAAGTGAGAGAGAGAGAGATTGAGTCGTTTTGTTTTTCTGTGTCTGTCCTTTCAAGACCTTATACCGTATGTGGTTATCTTGTCTCCTCTTTTTTTCTGCTATGAGCTAATGCAAGCCTCTTCAGTGTTTTCAACTTTTCATCAGAGTTCAAATTACCCAGTTCTGGCAGCCATTTTATAACTTTTTCTTTGAACATTTTCTAAATTGTTTTTTCTTTCTTCATGTGAGGTCACCATACAACTGCTACATATTCCAATCTTGGCATAAAATTAGTTTTTAACAACTTTCTTAACATTTCACATTCCATATACACGTGTATATCTTTTCTTTCAACAAACTGGCTATATCCCACTGAGGAAGGATGGCCCAAAAAAGAAAAAAGAGAGTTTCTCTCTTTAAACTTAGTAATGTATACAGGAGAGGAGGTTACTAGCCCCTTGCTCCTGGCATTTTAGTTGCCTCTTATAACACACATGACTTACAGAGGAAGAACTCTGTTCTGCTTTCTCATGGAAATAAAAGGAAATAAACAAGACCAAGAACTAGTAAGAAAATAGAAAACCCAGAGGAGTGTGTATATATATGCTTGCACATGCATGTGTGGTGTGACCTAAGTGTAAGTAGAAGTAGCAAGACGTACCTGAAACCTTGCATGTTTACGAGACAGTAGAATTGCTGGCGTCTTTTTCTGTCTTTTTTTTTTTTTTTTTCATCAAACCGGCCGTATCCCACCGAGGCAGGGTGGCCCAAAAAGAAAAACAAAAGTTTCTCTCTTTAAATTTAGTAATTTATACAGAAGGGGTTACTAGCCCCTTCCTCCCGGCATTTTAGTTGCCTCTTACAACACGCATGCCTTACGGAGGAAGAATTCTGTTCCACTTCCCATGGAGATAAGAGGAAATAAACAAGAACAAGAACTAGAAAGAAAATAGCAGAAAACCCAGAGGGGTGTGTATATATATGCTTGTACATGTATGTGTAGTGTGACCTAAGTGTAAGTAGAAGTAGCAAGACATACCTGAAATCTTGCATGTTTGAAACAGAAAAAAAGGACACCAGCAATCCTACAATCATGTAAAACAATTACAGGCTTTCATTTTACACTCACTTGGCAGGACAGTAGTACCTCCCTGGGTGGTTGTTGTCTACCAACCTACTACCTAAGTATTATTATTAGATATTTAAACCATGTACTAGCTCTGTTTCAGCCTAAAATGTTATGAACCTTTCAGAGATAACTGTGAGAAAATTGTTATGCCCAGATTATTCTAGATATTATATTATGTGTACTTGCAAATGAGAGAGCAGAGGACTGTACCATAAAAAAAATATCGATCATTAGTGTACCAGTATTGTATATTTTTTATAGGGAGATGGGGAAGTCTCTTGGCAGAGGGAAAACGATGGCCTTGTTTGAGAGTAGACTATCAGCCTCTTCTTTCTGATGATGATGAAGAATCGTCTCCCGGTGAGAGTGAAGGTAACATCTGTTGTAACTGATAAAGTACTGTAGATTTTTACATCTGTATACTTATAGGAACATAAAAAATAATGAATATACATTCTGTAGTTCTTGAGCTGCTCTGTACAATCATAGTTACATCTTTGTGGTTTCTATACTTTCTAGAGAGCCAAGCAAATTTAGAAGTTGAAAATACCACACACCACTAGCTATGGCCTACAGTAAGTTGGTGAATAAGGGACAGTTATCAGAGATCTGGAAGACAGCAAAAGTAATCCCTACATTTAGGACAGGAGACAGATAAGAGGTGTTAAATCACACTAGTTCCATTGACATGCATACCTTGCAAAGTAATGGAGAAACTTAAGGGAAAATGGTAACTGGTTTGGGTTTAAGGATGTCATATCTTGTTTTACTAACTAGCTGGAGCTCAATGACAAGATAGCAGACATATGACAGAAAAAGCGAGCTGAGTGGATTTCATTTATTTAAACTGCTAAAAAGGTGTTTGATACTGCACCCCACAAAGTTGGTCTCAAAACTTGAGATTCAAGCAGGAATAATAGGAAACATACTTCAGTGAGTCAAATAGTATCTTAGGGGTAGGAACCAGTTACTGTCAGAAAAGAGATGTCAAGCTAAGAGAATTGGAGCTAACAACATTGGAGGACAGACGAACCAGGGAAGACTTGATAACAACATAATACGTAAATACTCAGGGGAATTGATAAGGTAGAGAAGGATAGGCTGTTTGAGAGGTGAGAAGCAAGAACTCAGAGACACCATTGGAAGTTAAAGGCACAGATGAACCACAGGGATGGTAGGAAGTCTTTCTTCAGTCTCAAGAGTGATCAAGAAGTGGAATGATCTTGGTGAGGAAGTAATAGATGCAGACTCCATACAGTTTTAAGAATAGGTATGATAGGGCCCATGAAGCTAAGAGGGAGTGAATCTGAAAAGTGGCAAGTTAATAGGAAGGGCCAGGATCTGAAAATCAACCCCTGCAACCCCCTCCCCCTCCCAACACACACACACACACACACACACACAATCATTGTGCTCTTATGAGACGAGTAATGTGTGATATTGTTAATGATGCAGGTGATTGGTATGATGCAGTTGGGAGTATCTCAGCCTGGGAATATGGTGGTCTACCAGCAGGAATAAGTGAAAGTGACTCTTCTTGTGACCAACAGTCAGATGACGAGTTCCTGATGATATAATTTGTAACGTACTTCAAAAGAAGTTAGAGAATAAACTTGACAGTGTGAGATAATGTGTATAAATGTGCTTGCATATAGCTAATTCTTACATTGTTTTCTTTTTGATTATAATAATAATTACATTGTTGTTAAAATAGTTGTCAGTTGAATTATGAATCCAGTAGCCACTTTGCTCACTGCATCATATATTTACTGCTTTTTTACACTTGTGATTGTCAAATATTTTTAATCTTAAAATTCATAATTATGAGCAGTTAAATGGTTAGTGGTTGATTTACAGCACGAGTATCTCCTCATCTGATGTTTTACTCATTTTTTTTTGAAGGCAATAGGTAAGAGAAATGCATTGTGGCTGCCCTAGTATGAGAGAAATGCATTGTGGCTGCCCGGTACCTTCTTCAGGTAATCCCCATTACCCACCTCTGGTACTGCAGTTTCACCCGACCTTTTGGACACCTTTGACCTCCACATGACTTTTTCTATGGTCCCAGCTTCTCCATGTACAGTGCATCGATTTCCAGATCGCACACACAACTTGGTACCTCAGTGATACTAGTGAAAAGCTCCTAATCTCAGGAAGTGATATTTTCCCCTTTCTTGGATTGAACCTGACTGCCTAATCCCATGAACTGTCAGATGTTAAGATAAATTGTGCATGCCCACCAATAGACAGGACAGTCTGTTAAGAGATGGGGAACTGATAATGGAACCTGACAATTCTCAAAGAGACAGCATTTCTCCACGAGATACCCATGAGTAAGATATGTCTGATACATAGGCGGATAAGAAGACCAGAAGGCACGAGCATATATGACCATCAAAACCACTGTTACCCACCACAATATGTAGCTTCCCTTCACAACTGTCTTGTTTGATATAGGGTAAAAATAAAAGTAACAAAATTGTTTATCTTTCCTTATATTCCTTGCTGCTAGAGAAGTGTGTAGAGATGGCTGCCTGACAGTCTCCAATAAATCATAGCTTCACTAAACAATTACAAACATACAGTAGGGCCCCGCTTTACGGCGATGTCAAATTATGACCAAAATCTGCTATACGGCAAGCGGTCTTAACAATATGGCACCCCCCACCCGGTTTGTTTACATTCTCCGTGACATCTACTATATCAGGAAACTTGCCAAAATTTCAAGTGTTTTAAAGTTACTGCGTATTTCATATGTACTCTGATAATTATACTTATGTGTACCTGTACCTAAATATACTTACACACTGTGCAGGTGTACAGGTACACGTTAAAATCGCTAAGCGTCTCTAATTATGATGCCAATACTACGTAATAATAATCACTCTTGGGCACACTAAATGTCTTATTTTATATTAATATACCCCTCAAGGAAGGTTCCTTGATGTTGGTGAGGGGCTCTTGATTTAGGGAATTGGATCTGTGCTCCAGTTCCCCGAATTAAGCCTGAATGCCTTCCACATCCCCCCCCCCAGGCGCTGTATAATCCTCTGGGTTTAGCGCTTCCCCCTTGATTATAATAATAATATATTAATATAGGCATTTTCATTAATCCATCTAATGATATTTTCCTCAAAATTATATATGAAACCCGTTATATAGCATATAAACATGATACATACACTCGGAATAAAAATTGACGTAAATATAAGATTTGTTTACAGAGCAGCTGTGTAGGTAGTGTCGGAAGAATTACGTTTTCTCTAGTCAAACTGGGGGATAACTGTAGAAAAATATTCTTTTCGTATGCCTTCACTCTGTATGTAGCAATTCACGACCCTTGTGGGTTTAGTGCTTTTTATATTATTATTATTATAATCAAAAAGAAGCGCTAAGCCACAAGGACTATACAGCGCTGCAGTGCTACTTATAATAATAATAATATCTTCATTCACTCTAAAAATGGTGTTGGTTTGTTTATTCTGTACTAACTTGTACACAATGCAAGAGTATTTGTATTGTGAGGTAATTATTATTATAATAAAATATTGAGGTAAATGTTTTACAAACTCTTACAAACGTACATGAATGAACTAAAAGTAGACACATTAATACGCATTTATTTCGCCTGACCAAGTGATCGCCCACTACCTGTTCAGTTTGTGTTCTTACATTGTCTCAACTCTGTATCTCATTCTCTCTCGTTTACTCTTTCGTTAACTAGTTGGCTCTCACTGACGATGGCATCTAAGCTTAGCTGTGATAAAAAGAGGAGTCATAAGCCTCTTGCTTTAAGTGCCAAGTAAGAGGATGATGGTGTGTCATTCTGATTTTATTCAATAAACACCCTGCCGCTCACCTCTCACATATTAATATTTTAAGGTAAGTAATAAGTGTACTCTGTGTGTATCTTACCTTTTACTGTGTTTTTAATGCCTATTTCTATTGCTAACTTAATATTAGTGTAAACTTGTCTGGCATTTATTGCATATTTTATGTGCTCTGATAATAATACTTGTGGAGCTGTGTGGTAGCCGGGTGGAAGGACATTACGTTTTCTCTGTTCAGCCGTCGCAGAAAACGTGTATGAATCTGCATTTGGCCCAGCCACTCCCCCACTCCGCTTTTGTTTACAATTTTCGGCATGAATTATTCATTACTTCTCCCTTCGTTTATGATGGCATCTAAAGGTAGTTAGAAACTATTAAATTCAGCGAACAAGGTATGTCGATGATAATAATATGGCTCTGGGGCACAGTGTAGGTAGCCGGTAGGTGTAGCCCAGGCTACACATACCAGCTACCTACACTGACTTCCTACAAATAAATACTACTCACCTCTCTTCCTATATTAAGACTACACATATTTTAAGGTAAATAATGAGTGTATTGTACGTGTATTTTAACTCTGGGATGTTTTAAATATCGTATATTAACCCTTTGACTGTCGCGGCCGTATATATACGTCTTACGAGGTACCGTGTTTGACGTATATATACTCATAAATTCTAGCAGCTTCAAATCAAGCAGGAGAAAGCTGGTAGGCCCACATGTGAGAGAATGGGTCTGTGTGGTCAGTGTGCACCATATAAAAAAAATCCTGGAGCACGCAGTGCATAATGAGAAGAAAAAAAACTCCGACCGATTTTTTTTTTTAATTAAAATGCCGACTTTGTGGTCTATTTTCGTATAGTATTTATGGTTGTATTCTCGTTTTCTTGGTCTCATTTGATAGAATGGGAAACATATTATAGAAATAGAGGTGATTTTGATTGATTTTACTATAAAAAGAACCTAGAAATGGAGCTCAAAGTAGGGGAAATGTTTGATTTTTGCCAATGTTCAAAGTAAACAAATGATGCCATTGTCCAATAAATGTCCAACTAGCCATTCTAATATGCAGTCATGAATGGGTTGATGTTATTTATACAATTATTACAGTATTGCACTAGTCTGCATAATAGTAAGTCTTCTATTTTTTGTTTGAATAAAAATTCAAAATAGAAAGCAAGAGTAATATCAGAGGGGCCTGGAGACATGACTGATGAGCAAAGAAAATGTTATTTTAGAGCCAGGAATGTCTGCATTGTTCATTCTGGACCTTATTTTGAAATTGTCATATTTTTTAGTTTTCGTGAAATTGGCCAAATTGCAAATTTCTGACCACATTATTAGGTAGTTGAAATCGGTAAATGGGCAGTTTCTTGTACTCAATCGATAGAAAAATGGAGTTCTAAAGAAATAGCTATGAGTTTGGGCGACTGGAACAATGGAATTAGCCGAAAATAGGGCTCAAAGTGGGCGAAATCGCCGATTTGTAAACAGCGCCGAGATCGCTAACTTTGCGAGAGCATAATTCCGTCAGTTTTCCATCAAATTTCGTTTTTTTGGTGTCATTACAATCGGGAAAAGATTCTCTATCATTTCATAAGAAAAAATAATTTTTTTTTTTTTAAATTTTGCGACACCAGGAGACACCTCAGGATTGTGGGTTGCGACAGTCAAAGGGTTAATTATGAGACGGGGAGCCAGGGCTACCTACACCTGACTTACTACAAATAAGTACTACTCGCCTCTCTTCCTACATTAAGATTACAAATACTTTAAGATAAGTAATGAATGTACTGTGAATATATTTTACTTTGTGTGTTTTTAATGCCTAGTTCTATTACTAACTTAATATAATTTAGTGTAAACTTGTTGTCTGGCATTTATATGCATTTATAAATGGAAAAAAATGGCGTTCTGCCTTCCGGCAATGTCTGCTTTCCGTCGACAGCCTGGAACCTAACCCGCCGTATAAGTGGGGCCCTACCGTATTCAATAATTATATAAATGCAGCTAGGGTATGTAAATGACTGTTTATGGCACAAAACTGTGTAGTGCAATGTTACACTAGCCTTGGTGTGCAAAACTTCCCATACCTCCAGTCACAACTTTATTAATAATAATAAGTTTAACAGTTTTCTTCTTGGCACCTCCAGCATCACTTAAAATGAAGTCCCATAATTAATATCCTAAAATGACATACTGATTACATGATGGAAAATAAACAGAATTGTATGGCATTTGTCCAGATACACTGGCCCCTTTGAGCAGCTCTGTGATTCTTCACCTTGGCCTGTGGAAGGAGTCTCTCTACTTTACATCATCATTTCTTTTTTCTTAGGGAAATGTGCCTTGAGCATACCTCGAGCACCAAAGAGTTAATTCCTTCTAGGCAAAGGTTCACCAATTTTACACCCACAAAACAATGACCTTGCCAATAATGGTAATGCACTCCACTAATGGCAATGGTAATTCTGCCCCAGTGCACCCAGTGACACACTACCAGTGCACCCAGTGACACACTACCAGTGCACCCAGTGACACACTACCAGTGCACCCAGTCACACACTACTAGTAGAAATAGAAAAGTAAACAAGTCACAAGATATTCAAAATGGAAATTACGGTAGAGCGACTCATGAAGGGTCACTGGTACTGTATAGGTGTATTTCTATTTCTTTTTTATTAACCCTTAAACGGTCCAAACAGATCAACGTTCATATTCATAGAGCTACAAAAGTAGATCTACTTTTTTTTACATATTTTCAAATATAACAAAAAAAATGTAGATAAAAGTTTTTTTTTTACACTTTTTCAAATGTAAAACAAAAAAGAAGATCTACATTTTTTTACATACTTTCAGATGTTGAAAAAACGTATATATACGTTTGGACCATTTAAGGGTTAAACACTATATGCTGTATATAATAACAGCACTGTATGACCCTGTGGGTTTAGCACTTTGTTTTCATAATAATAATAGTAATAATGTACATAAAAACTAATAGTCATGGTTTTTACTACATGCTGTATGTAATAAAAATTAAGTCCTTTTTTTTATAATTTTGTATGAGGAAGATTAGGCTGTGGTCCAAGCCATCTTTCTCCTATCTCCTGCGCTAGAACAGGGAATCGATCAGAACCAAAGAAGAGCAAGGACTCCCCTTCACCATGGACCACTATACTTGGTGATCCAAATGCCTGAAAAATAAAGTTTTTATTATTATAGGTCAGCCATCACTAGTCTAGCATCATTGGGATCTGTAGTGTGCCAGATTAGTGAGTTTGCCAGATTACAAAGTGGTTAGGTTAGAATACACTTAACCTATCAACAGAGACATTCTGCTACATCTTCCTCATTTTCATCACTGCTTTCTCCACTGGCTGGCTGCTGTGGATTTACAACCATCTGCACAATTTGAGTCAGTATAAGGATGAAATTTGAAATTATGCTAGCCGAAATTAGTGCTGGATTACTGATGGAACTGGATAACCGATTGCCAGATTAGTGATGGCTGACCTGTATATCTTACTGAACAACATTTTAAAAAACATTATTGCACTCAATTTTTAGAGTGCAATAATGCAATCCATACCAGTCAACTGGTGTGGTCGCATCCTGAGACAAAACTGACCTAATTTGCTTGAAATGCCCTGCATAACAAGAGGCTTTCTATATAGTAGTATGTCATTGATGTCGGCTATGGTCTCTATGTAGTAGTATGTCATTGATGTCGGCTATGGTCTGTATACCTTGTACATGTACTTGTAGTAAATATATTATTTCCCTTGAAGTTCTGTGATGCTGATGAGCAAGTTTATTTAGGTAGAGGTACACACAAACACAGCTACACAAATTATCATACATAGTAATGTGTGTAAATTACCTAGGAAAACCCTTTAATGTCGGTGGGATACGGCTGGTTTGTTGAAGGAAGAACCCTAAAATGTCAAAGTGACGTATTTCCATTGGGGTACTTGTGAGGGGGCTCTTGATCCAAGGAATTGGACTTGTCTCACCTTGCACTGAATTAAGTGACTGCCTCCCCTTCTCCAGGCACTGTACTCACCTAGTTGTGGTAGCAGGGGTCGAGTCATAGCTCCTGTATAGCCACTATCGGTACAATATAATATGTAATTCAAATGAAAGTTTTTAAAATTTCCATAAATGTAAATACAGTATGTTAAAATTAAAGCAAAATATCTTCTAACCATTTGAATATTTGTCACATAATTTTAGTCTTGAGATGCTCTTTCTGTCAGCGCACCAGTCATATCCCACAGAGGCAGGGCGGCCCAAAAGGAAAAACGAAAGTTTTTCCCTTTAAATTTAGTAATGTATACAGGAGAAGGGGTTACTAGCCCCGTGCTCCTGGCATTTTAGTCGCCTCTTATGACACTCATGGCTTACGGAGGAAGAATTTTGTTCCACTTACCCATGGAGGTAAGAGGAAATAAACAAGAACTAGTAAGAAAATAGAAGAAAACCCAAAGGGGTATGTATGTATGTATGTATATATATGTATATGTATGTATATATATGTATGTATATATATGTATGTATGTGTATATATATATATATATATATATATATATATATATATATATATATATATATATATATATATATATATATGTATGTGTATTATATATATATATATATATATATATATATATATATATATATATATATATATATATATATATATATATATATATATATATATATAATATATATACATATATATATATGTGTGTGTGTATATATTTAAATATACATATATATATATATATATATTTCTTCTTTCTTTCAACACACTGGCCGTATCTCACTGAGGCAGGGTGGCCCAAAAGGAAAAACAAATGTTTCTCCTTTTACATTTAGTAATATATACAGGAGAAGGGGCCACCAGCCCCCTGCTCCTGGCATTTTAGTCGCCTCTCACAACACGCATGGCTTACGGAGGAAGAATTCTGATCCACTTCCCCATGGAGATAACGGGAAATAAAGAACAAGAACTAGAAGAAAACCCCAGAGGGGTGTGTGTGTGTGTGTGTATATATATATATGCTTGTACATGCATGTGTAGTGCGACCCAAGTGTAAGAACAAGTAGCAAGGCGTACCTGAAATCTTGCATGTTAACCCTTTTAGGGTCCAAGGCCAAAATCTGAAGTGGTGCCCCAGTGTCCAAGAATTTTCAAAAAAAAAATTATTTTTTCTTATGAAATGGTAGAGAATCTTTTTGTGAAGGTAATAAAACAAAAAGTATGAAATTTGATGGAAAATTTACGAAATTATGCTCTCGTGAATTTTGGTGTGTCAGCGATATTTACGAATCAGCGATTTTGCCAACTTTGACTCCCATTTTAGGCCAATTACATTATTCCAGTCGACCAAACTCTTAGCTATTTCACTAGTATTACTTCTATTCTAACGATTGAGCACAAGAAATCGCCAAGTCAACTGTTTCAACTACAAAATAAAGTGACCGGAAATTGGTAATTTGGCCAATTTAACACAAATTTCAAAATATTCCAATTTCAAAATAGGCTCCAGAATAAACAATGTAGGTATTTCTGGAACTAAACTAACATTTCCTCTGTTCATTAGTTATGTTTTGAGGCTTTACAAATAAATTCCATTTTGATTTTTTATTCACATAATGAATTTTTATTCACACCAAAAAATAGAAGATTTACTGTTATGCAATATTGTAATAATTGTATAAATATCATCAACACATTTGTGAATGTATATTAGACCCACCAGCTGACGTGTATTAGACGTGTGAGGTCGTTTGTTTACTCTTGAACATCGGCAAAAATTTAACATTTCCGCCACTTTGAGCTCAGTTTCAAGCCATTTCCAGTGCTAAAACCAATCAAAATTATCTCTATTTCTGTAATATGTCTTCCATTCTATCAAATGAGACCAAGAAATCACAAATACAACAAAAAACATACGAAAAAACACTGCAAAGTCGCTGTTTTAATCGAAAATCACGGTCCAAGTTTTTTTTCTCTCATTATACACAGTGTGCTGCAGGATTTGTTTTATGTGGTGCACACATACCACATAGATGTATTCTCTCATATCTAGGCCCAAATTTACCACTCACAGTTTATCAGAGTGAGCTGAGCTCATGACGTCGATCTACGGTTTGGACCCTGAACGTAAAGCTGTAGATCTACGGGACGGACCCTGAAAGGGTTAATGAGACAGAAAAAAGACACCAGCAATCCTACCATCATGTAAAAAAATTACAGGTTATTTATATAATATATATATATATATATATATATATATAATATATATATATTATATATATATATATATATATATATATATATATATAAAATATATATATATACACACATATATAATTTTTTTTTTTTTCACCAAGTCGGCCGTCTCCCACCGAGGCAGGGTGACCCAAAAAAGAAAGACAATCCCCGAAAAGAAAATACTTTCATCATCATTCAACACTTTCACCACACTCACACATTATCACTGCTTTTGCAGAGGTGCTCAGAATACAACAGTTTAGAAGCATATACGTATAAAGATACACAACATATCCCTCCAAACTGCCAATATCCCAAACCCCTCCTTTAAAGTGCAGGTATTGTACTTCCCATTTCCAGGACTCAAATCTGACTATATATATATATATATATATATATAATATATATATATATATATACAGTGGACCCCCGCTTAACGATCACCTCCAAATGCGACCAATTATGTAAGTGTATTTATGTAAGCGCGTTTGTACGTGTATGTTTGGGGGTCTGAAATGGACTAATCTACTTCACAATATTCCTTATGGGAAAAAATTCGGTCAGTACTGGCACCTGAACATACTACTGGAATGAAAAAAGTTCGTTAAACCGGGGGTCCACTGTATATATATATATATATATATATATATATATATATATATATATATTTTATATATATATAAAATAAATAAATATACAAGGTATGATGTAGCACGTAATGAAAGTAGTTTGTTAGATTATGTATTGGTGGATAAAAGGTTGATGGGTAGGCTCCAGGATGTACATGTTTATAGAGGGGCAACTGATATATCGGATCATTATTTAGTTGTAGCTACAGTTAGAGTAAGAGGTAGATGGGAAAAGAGGAAGGTGGCAACACAAGTAAGAGGGAGGTGAAAGTGTATAAACTAAGGGAGGAGGAAGTTCGGGCGAGATATAAGCGACTATTGGCAGAAAGGTGGGCTAGTGCAAAGATGAGTAGTGGGGGGGTTGAAGAGGGTTGGAATAGTTTTAAAAATGCAGTATTAGAATGTGGGGCAGAAGTTTGTGGTTATAGGAGGGTGGGGGCAGGAGGAAAGAGGAGTGATTGGTGGAATGATGAAGTAAAGGGTGTGATAAAAGAGAAAAAGGTAGCTTACGAGAGGTTTTTACAAAGCAGAAGTGTTATAAGAAGAGCAGAGTATATGGAGAGTAAAAGAAAGGTGAAGAGAGTGGTGAGAGAGTGCAAAAGGAGAGCAGATGAAAGAGTGGGAGAGGCACTGTCAAGAAATTTTAATGAAAATAAGAAAAAATTTTGGAGTGAGTTAAACAAGTTAAGAAAGCCTAGGGAAAGTATGGATTTGTCAGTTAAAAACAGAGTAGGGGAGTTAGTAGATGGGGAGAGGGGGGTATTAGGTAGATGGCGAGAATATTTTGAGGAACTTTTAAATGTTAAGGAAGAAAGGGAGGCGGTAATTTCATGCATTGGCCAGGGAGGTATACCATCTTTTAGGAGTGAAGAAGAGCAGAATGTAAGTGTGGTGGAGGTACGTGAGGCATTACGTAGAATGAAAGGGGTAAAGCAGCTGGAACTGATGGGATCATGACAGAAATGTTAAAAGCAGGGGGGATATAGTGTTGGAGTGGTTGGTACTTTTGTTTAATAAATGTATGAAAGAGGGAAGGTACCTAGGGATTGGCGGAGAGCATGTATAGTCCCTTTATATAAAGGGAAAGGGGACAAAAGAGATTGTAAAAATTATAGAGGAATAAGTTTACTGAGTATACCAGGAAAAGTATACGGTAGGGTTATAATTGAAAGAATTAGAGGTAAGACAGAATGTAGAATTGCGGATGAGCAAGGAGGCTTCAGAGTGGGTAGGGGATGTATAGATCAAGTGTTTACATTGAAGCATATATGTGAACAGTATTTAG